GCCAACCGCAAGAACCCTGCTGATTTCGCCAACGATCAGTAAGATAGTTAATGTAGAACAGTTCGAATAAAGGATTAATTAGCTTATACTGTTTACAAAACACATCAAAATAATATCAAATTGCATTGGTACCACATCCAATGATACCAATCATCCAATGATACAGTAATACAACCATCAAGAAAACTGATGAAGCTCCCCAAGCAAACCTGAGGGAGAGTTCGGGAAGTTGCGAGAGTTTCAAACCAAATCACAAGGTTACTGTGCATAATACAATTAGTTTTGCTTCTGATTATCTCTGCAATAAAAATATTTTTTTTGTACCTGTGCTACGTATATTGCACTTACATTTCCGTAGAGACGTCTATGATTCTAATATACCTAAAGCTAAATTCTTCTTTAAATAACCATGAGAAGTATATTTATTCAAATATTTTCAGAGGGATAAAAGCCATTCATTTGCAAAAATGGATGGCATGAGTTATGTTCGTTTGGGTGAAGAGCCCTATATGCAATTAGACAAGATGAAACTCAGAAACTATTTTCCGCATGAAATAGAGAAGTTGAGTGTCGTTAGGATTACACAAACAAAGACTTTTGATGAGGTATGCTTTCTTTGTATGATTTCACGTCTTACTACTTCACATTAAGATCGGACATCCAGTTAAGGGAGGTCTATACGATCCTGCCATGGGTCCTCACAATACCGATCGTTGTGAAACTTGCCATCAGTATCAGGTTCACTGTCCAGGTAGCAATCATAGCTTTAGCGAAAGATAAGTAATTCAATTTAAGGACACATTGGACACTTAAGGCTAGATGTTCCTGTATTCAATCCCCTGCTCTTCAGTTTTTCATTGAATGTATGAGATCTTTCCCAATCATTTATCGAATGACTTCTTCCAGTTGTTGAAAGGCTCATGTGTTCAGTGTCATAGGCTTACTTGTGGTTCCGATAGTATTGATGCTAAAGTTCTTCTAGTCCAACTAAGGTAAATTGATTAACAGAAGGAGATGACGTGAACGATTCAGATGCTTTGAACTTGGAGTTCCTCATTTAGTTCAAGCTATGGCTAGTATCTACAAAGATAGGCTAACCAATATGGATGTTTCCGAAAAGATAACATTGGAAGAAGAAATGCAAATTCTCGCCGAAGTTGATAAAATGATTTCAAAAGCTGTAAGGGAATCAATTTCTCTAAACTGTTATGGGTACTGTTATAGGAAGGAAAACCTTATTCTAAATTGAAAGGAGGAATTCCCGATAAGAACACTGTAGATTTAAGAAAAGAAGTAGTCTCTAATTTTTTAAGAAGTCATTTGGTTTGTTCCGAACTCATAGCTTCATCAACATAAGTTTTTCAGTTCAAACGTCGTGAGAAATGCCCATTGTGTAAAGGCAAGAATGGAAAGCTTACGAATGATCAAGCACGGTGTATCATCTTGAACTTCTCTTCGACGAGTAAAGGAAAAAAGGTTTGTGGATCTTGTTTACTAGTTGTTTCATAGTTTCTTTCGTTTTGTTCACGTGTGCATACGTATGCTAATTTCACGTTGGCGTTGTTTGCGTGCACGTGATCAATTAGAATGCGGTCGAATAGCTAATTTCTGTCATTTTCTACTTCTGTTCTGGTTGTGAACAGTTGTGCTTTTTCAGGTTAACACATATAGGGATGAGTTCGAGGTTGAAGAATCGGAAAACGAATCCGATAAAGAGAGTAAGTTGACTTCGTTTTGACTCAGTACTTGCTTGTTTCAGATGACTTGGGTGATCTTGAGAAACTCGGCTACGGTGGAGTTGAAGTAACGGAAGGTACTCTGGAGGAGCAATTGATTGCTGTCCAAAAAGGAAGCTGTGACAAGGTTATACTACTTCTTGATTATCCATCATCTTCGCAAGTTACAGCTAGCCTGGAGAGCTGCAGAAGTTCGTGAACATTTCCGTTTATTGTTCAAGAACGATGGAGAGTTTTTGTTGAAAGTATTCCCTCTGCTGAACGATGAAGGGGTGAGTTTGCCAATTCCGATAGTATTCATTCATATTTTCCTCAGGCTAAAGATTGCTGCCCTCTTGATGGTCTTTTCTCGGAACTCATAATGGTTCCACCTACGAAATTCCGCCCCATTCGTTTATTCCAAGGACAGAACTATGAAGATCCACAGTCTGTTAATCTTCGAAAACTTCTTGAAGCCACAGAAACTATCAAGGTACTTGATACGTGTTCACGAGCAATTCCATTCCCGATTTTAGGCTATTTCGTTGGTTATGAAGGGAGACAAATCAGCCAGTCTAGCAGAGTTGATCACTACAAGAGTAATGGGAAGAACAATAAACGCTAAGATGCACAACGCTTATGTTTTCCTACAACAGAAGATGAATGCCATTTTCGATGAAGTCAGTTTTCTCGGTTGAAAAGTTATCATTTGTTTTTTAAGGAGTTGGATCACGCTAACGATAAGCTCAAAGCACCAGGAATCAAACAGATTTTGGAAAAGAAACAGGGACTGTTTCGAATGAACATGATGGGAAAACGTGTGAATTATGCCTGCAGGTTGGATAGATTTATATACTTTTGATATACTGAGTGAATTATAGATCGGTTATCACCCCTGATCCTTACCTAGACATCGATGAGATTGGTATCCCTGAAGTCTTCGCGAAAAAACTGACTTTCTCAGAGCCTGTAAACATATATAATATGCAGTACTTGAGAAAATTAGTGGAGAATGGTAACGAAAAACATCCTGGGTTTGTCTTAGTCTCAAAACCTCAAATAATATGTATTTTCAGAGCCAACTTTGTATTCAATTCCAATCAGAAGAAAGTTATACTTACTTCTGATAAAGAGAAGCATAACTTGAAAACTGTATCAAAATCGTTACAATCAGCAAACGGCGATTACATCAAAGGTCCAATGAAAGTTTTGAGACATCTCAGGAATGGAGACATGATGCTCATGAATCGTCAACCTTCTCTTCACAAACCTTCTATTCTGGGTCACAGATGTCGTGTCTTGCGAGGACAAAAAGCTCTTCGGATGAACTACGCTCCATGCAAAGCTTACAATGCTGATTTCGACGGTGACGAAATGAATGGCCATCTTGTTCAATCTTTTATTGCTCAATCTGAAGTTTCGGAAATAGGTTTGCTTATATCTCGGCTACTGTTCATAAATTCAGTTCAGCAAATGTTGGAAGTAACCTGCTTGTACCTAAGGACGCAACCCCCTTACTTGGATTGATTCAGGATCACGTTGTTTCTGGAGTTTTGTTGACCCTCCGAGGAAGATTCTTGAATAAGGTCATATTTAAAATTATTAATTTCTTACTTGAACAATTTTAGGAAGATTTCATGCATCTTGTGTTAGCAGCTTTCTCAGAAACATCGGAGAGAATTGAAATCCCCCCTCCTTGTATGTTGAAACCTCAAGTGCTTTACAGTGGAAAGCAGGTAGATGGAAACAAACAATTCAAAGTAATTGAGTGATTGTCAGGTCATCTCCTGCATTATGAAAAATTGTATTCCGGAAGGAAAACCTCTCATCAATTTAGCAGGAAAAGCCAAAACTCCACTCTCGTGTTGGAGAGTGCGTGGCTATTCGGATCCACAGTTTGACATGAGTGAATCTGAAGTAGTGTTCAGGTATTCCAATAAAAAAATTTCATTTCTTATTCTCTAATTAAGGCAAGGTGAACTCCTTGTCGGAGTATTAGATAAGGCTCATTATGGAGCTACGCAATATGGTCTTGCTCACTGCTGTTTTGAATTATATGGTCCTAAGATTGGTGTCAAAGTTTTATCTTGTTTTTCAAGACTTTTTACTACATACTTACAAGTATGTTTTATTTTTGCTCACTGGTTCTAACTTAAGTTCAAGTTCCACGGTTTTACTCTGGGTGTTGCCGATATTCTTATCCGTAAAGAGGCTGATCAAGAAAGAACTAAGCATGTATTGGAAAGTAGGACCATTGGAAATCAGGTATTTCGCAAACATATATGAAACAAATCTATGTTTCACAGGTCGTTATCAAAACTTTCGCATTGTCCGAAAACGCCACTGAAGCCGAAATCAAGAATGCGCTTGCTACGACATATAATAATCCAGCTGGACAGGGAACTGATGTTAAGATGTTGGATTATGGAATGAAACAAGGAATTTCGAAATATAACGAAGCTATCACAAAGTAAACCCACACAGATATTTATATTAACTTGGGACCTGAATTTGTTTTTAGAGCATGTGTACCAACTGGTTTGATTCGGTCTTTCCCAGAAAATGCCTTACAAGTTATGATCCAGTCTGGTGCTAAAGGATCATCTGTGAACGCTATTCAGGTGAGGGTTTATCGAGCTGACTGATTTTTTCTGTTTAGATTTCTTGTTGTCTCGGTCAAATCGAACTTGAAGGAAAACGTATGGCCGTTACTGTAGCGGGTCGCACTCTGCCGTCTTTCAAGTATTCCGATGGATTTAATATCGAAAATATCTTCTCTTTAGAGCTTATGATCCTTCCCCTCGTGCTGGTGGTTTCATTGACCAACGTTTCTTAACTGGAATCAATCCTCAAGAACTATTTTTCCACACAATGGCAGGAAGAGAAGTGAAAATTCCATTCACTATTTGTTTAACTATAATGTGCATATAGGGTTTGATTGATACGGCTGTAAAAACATCCAGATCTGGATATCTTCAAAGATGTATCATAAAACATCTGGAAGGAATCAAAGTTCATTATGATTCTACTGTTAGAGATCATGATGGATCAATCATTCAGGTGACAAATATCACATGCTTCTGGTAAAATATGTTTGTATTCAGTTCCGTTATGGAGAGGATGGGTTGGACACATGCAAAGCTTCATTCTTATCTCCTAAGACTTTCAAATTCCTCGAGGATAACATTGAAGCGGCAACTATGTGTTGTAAACCGAAGTCGGCTAGAGATGCTGATTATTCCGTGTATGAAGCCGAAAAACAGTATCACAAAATCCAAAAATGGAAGAGAAAGAAGGCCAAGAGGAACATTCAAACAAAACTTTATCAATCTGGCTTCACAGAGTTTTCTGCGGAACATATAGGTAAATTATATCTCTGGGGCCTTAGCTTACTGTTTTAGGTGCTGACAAAAAGGCAATCGTTGGAATGTGGGCTGAGTTATCAGCAAGTGAAAAGAAGGTTTACGAAAAGAGAGCTCCAAGTAGCTGTCCTACCCCTGTAGATGAGGTAGAAAGAACCCCTCCTAGTTATCAAGATCTATTCCCATTTAGAAGTTCAATGTTAATCGTGTACTGGGAGCTCTACCTGAAAAAACTTTAGATCAAATCTATGCGAGTAGTGAAGATAATGAAAAGTTAAAACGAACATTAATGTGGAAAGGTACTCATAACACAGATCTTGTCAGCGTGATCAATTCATTGAAGGAATGCAATCATTGGCAACGGCTGGTGAAAACGTTGGACTTCTAGCTGCTCAATCCATTGGAGAGCCTTCCACTCAAATGACACTGAACACTTTCCATTTCGCCGGTAGAGGAGAAATGAACGTCACTCTTGGTATTCCTAGACTTCGAGAAATTTTGATGACAGCTTCACAAAACATCGCAACGCCTAGTGCACAGGTATGGTATGAGAGATGTTGTTGTAGCTAGTTTTTCCTTTAAGATTGCTATATTACCTGGATCTACGAGAGAACAGATTGACAAAATCAAACAAGATCTGGATCGTGTCTTCTTGAACCAAGTATTACGAAACTTTAAGTTGGAAGACCGTATCAACTTAAGCAATGGGTAAGGGAAACTATTTTCTCGGTTAAATTATTCGATTATCCAGTGAGCGATGGAGAAGGTACAGTCTCCGATTGGAGTTGCTTCCTGCTGAACGTAGAGAGAAGGGAACACAACATCTTAAGCGTCGGAAAATAATGAAAGAGGTACAAAAGGTGTCTCAATCTGGCTTAATTGAATATGTTCAAGATTGAAAAACGATTCTTGAAAAACATTGCTAAAGTTATGGAGACTAAAATCAAAGCTGTTTCTACTTATCAATCAATGCAAACCAGAAAGTTGAGACAAGGAAATCTTGCTGCAGGAGTTGGTACTGACGCTGGAGATCCAAGACAAAGGTTGGCCACTTTTACCTTCAAAAGAGTATGTCTTTTTTTCATAGACGAAGAATCGATGATGGAGCTTCGTCAGATGAGGAAGCCGATGGTGGACAAGATGCTGATGCTGCCGAAAGGAGATTACACAATCGTCACAAGTACTGACGTTCATGTATTTTTTCATTTACTTCATCTCGCCTTTTAGTGATGAGGCGGCTGATTATGAGGGAGAAGATGAGGACAGAGGAGCTGTTGAGATGGAAGATCCCAACGAGACAGTAGCTCCAGAAGGAGAGCCAGAGGAGGAAAAGGAGGGAAGCGAGGATGATGAATCTCAGGATGACGAGGCAACAAAGAAAGATGAAGATAACGAAAGCCCAGAGTACCGTGTTCGGGTATGACTAGATTTGTCAGAGTTTATTAGAAAGTCATCTATTACAGCATGTTATTCAATCTGCTAGCTTAATAGTGGAGTACGAGTTCGACACCAAAAAGGATAGATGGTGCCGTGCAGTTTTCCAAACTCCTCTGAGTAGTAAAACGAAACTCGATATGGCTTCTATAATTGACTAGTGTGAACAAATTTTTTTCTAATCTATGTTATCCGTTCAGTGAAATCTCCAAGTTCATCGTTCATCAGACTCCTGGAATAGAAAGATGTGTGGAAGACAAACAAATGAAGGATGGAAAGGAAGTAACTTATATTCAAACTCAAGGAGTCAACCTCCAAGTTTGTTTTTGACAGAAACTACAGACTTAAACCTTTTTTCCAGGCTCTTTTCCGTCATTCTGACTGTCTGGATGTCAATTCTGTCTACTCTAACGATCTCAATTTGATCTTGAATCAATATGGAGTTGAAGCGTGTGCACGCGCTATAGTTACTGTGAGTTTTGCTAGTTTTCATGAAAAGCTGTGACCTGAACCTAAACTGTCTTATTACCAGTATCACTCAGTTGATATGTGTCTATTGCTGTATGGCTTTGTTTTCTCAGCATAGTCATTAAAACCTTACAAGATACGGTATTCAATTGCCGAAGTCTTATATGTTTTCCACTTACGTTACTGTAAACTCTCATCATCTGTAACTACCTGCTCCTACCTGTTTCTCTCACTATTTTCGAACCGTGTTTCTGCTGCTTCTGGAGAGAGTTGTTCGAAGCGGGGGTTGTCCCTTGGTCTTTCTACGTCATGAAACCCTGTTCCCAATTCATCAGCTATCAGCTATATCATTATTAATAATCAAAAAGACAGTTTTCTAAGATCAAAATGTTGAGTGATTTACGCTGAAATTTTGAACGCGCTGTTCAAAGTTTTGTAGGCAATCCAAAGACTGAATTCACTTTTGTAGGACGATAAGATAACTTCTTAATTTCAGGAAATGGCCAATGTTTTCGGTGTTTACGGAATCGACGTCTCCAAAAGGCATCTGTCCTTAACAGCTGATTACATGACGTTTACGGGTATAATTGCTCCATTCAATCGCGGTGCTATGTCCTCAAGTGCGTCACCCCTTCAGAAAATGACTTTCGAGACAACGATCGCTTTCCTTCGAGAGTCCATCCTTCACGGTTAGTTCAAATAATTATTGATAAAAGTGTGATAGAGTTATATGAAAAAAATGTGACCCTCATGCCAGTCAGATGTACAGGCAGTTCGAAGTTGGCGTATTTCAGGCTGTAAATTACCAAATCACTTCTTGTTCTCAAAAATATTTTTAGTTCTCATATTTCGGCTAATTACACTTTGTTGAATCACAACTGATGCTAAAAATATCAGAGTAGTCGATCAAAAAATAGCATCATAGTTAACACAAAGTGAAGTAGAGAACAGTTATTTTCAAGATGCTCGATGTGTCTGACTCTATTAACCTAACTGTTTTTCAGGCCAAGAGGATCATTTAACATCGCCGTCAGCCCGTTTAGTAGTTGGAAGTTTGAACCGAGGAGGTACAGGATCCTTTGATCTCATGTCCACTCTGAAATACTCCAAGTAGTTTGTTGTTATATTTGTTGATTTTTGTTGTTGTTGTTGTTACGCTGTTTCTTGCGAAAGTTTGAAGTTTTTGAATTTTGAATTCTCAGTTTGTTGCTCGAAATTAGGAAATATTGGAAGTGTTTCATGTTGTTGACTGTTTTGTATGTCTCTTTTGTGATATTCGTTACAGCTATTGTTTTCTTTTGTCCACTTTTGTTTTCAAATTGTTGTTGACAAGCGTTTAGATAAATATACTATTTATTATATGTACATGTAGGGGATACTAGCACCAGATATGGTTAAAGCTCGAATAAGAGAACCACTTTATGAAAGCAATTTAACGAGACAGCCGAGTCGTTGATAGAGTTGATCGTCTACGATTTCACATGACAGAAGGCCTGAACGAGCAACGGCATTTGTTCAATTAGAACTCGTCGAGATCAGCTTTTAACGATTATCGGTATCAGTTGCTGATGGAGTCGCTAGAAAATTGATTTTTTAGAAATGGTTGAACAAATTCGATAAATAAAATGGGAAAACAAGGAAATAAAACTCACTTTGAACACATCCGCTCTCGACTCGAGAAGCGATGAGGCTTGCGCTGGTAAGAAGCCCATTCCAGGGTATCTCTGGTAGGATGAATGATGCTGATCATAATTCTTATAATATATTATGAATATATGAAGTATAAATTTCAGTAGGTTTATCGAGAAACAGTCCTTTTCAATAGAGGCTAAGCGGGTCCTTTCAAGCAAACGTCTTTTATATGGACACGAGACTCCGCCCCTACGCGCATCAGAGCACTTCGACGGTCGTCCTATTGCACCCGACACCGTTGTCGATGACGTGGGAGACCAGCCGGGCACGAGGCCAAGTACCGCCCTGAAGAATCGCCGTCGTATTCCAACGATTTAGATGAAGAATCAGAAAGTCAGGAAATATAAGAAGAAAGGAAGAGAGCGTCGTGAAAGTTGTATGGAAGACAGAAAGAGGAACGAAGAGAGAAGAAGATGCGAAAAGGAAAGAGGAACTGTTAAGGATTACTGTAAAGAACTTTGCAGCTACCTTTGATGGTATGAAACAATATCTTTGAATCTTTGAGAATGTTCTCATCACTATTGAACTGATTCAATTTTCCTTAGATGAAAGCGTGAAACATGAATGGCTTTCATTGTAAAGGTCGCCTACACATGTGGGTGAGTGAGCGAACATACTTCGAAGCTTTGATTACTTCGCCCATCAAATGGTCCCTTATCAGGGCAAAGTTTACATTTTGATTCTGCTTGTTGTTCGACAAATGATTATTCAACCTTATGCTTTTTGTCTGGCTTGTGCGTTACCGTTCAGCAAGGGGTGAGAGGCCTTGAACCTGATGAGAAAGCCTTACAACTTAAGGTTCGGGTCCCAAACCTTATCGAATATGGTCTATTTTCCTGACAATAATATGATGACGTTTCAAGTGCAGCAGATCAGTTGCATCTGTAGTGTTATGCTAAACAAGATTCAGTTCTGCAGATTTTGACCATATTGAGATTTTCAGGAACTGAAGCAGTCAACTTCTTCTCGTCTAGTAAATACCGACGTTGACTAGAACGCTCTCTTTTTCAAATCTTAAGTGTTCTTGCAGAATTTCGCAAGTATTACATCTAAGTCTAAAGCTTTAAAGTGAATTGGGAGAGAACGAGAAGTTCACGAGATTTGCACGTCTTACCCATCATAACTTTCATGACACAAATCATGATTTACGAGGGTCGAGTCGACTGAGAGTATAATTTTAATTGTATTAACAGACTCTCTCTCTCTCATTCTCTTTTTAAAGTAAATGGAATAAATAAGTCCTTCCTAGTCTTTGATGTGTGCTCATTGCTGTCCTGTTTTCTCATTGTTTCTGTGTTGATACATCTTAGCCTCCACTACTGTACAATACAATCATATGAATAAGCCAGCCATTTCATGTCTACTACTACTCTCTTACACCTTCTCACATACTCCTCTCTCGACAGACCAAAATTGAATTTTTCCAACTTAATATCATCTCTTACCGCTTATCGCGACAAAATTTGAACCGTTTTTTAAAAGACGCAATAACCTGGTCTTACCATGTTTGTCAAGTCTGTCTCTCTCTCTCTCTCCCCATTTGTGGTAGTTGTTTCTCTTCTACTTTTCTCTCTCTCTCGTAGTTGTTGTATGCCTCGTTTCAGTAGAATTCTTCGTTTTTCAAAAAATGCATCAAGTTTTTCAATTAGTTGAAAGACTGTTTTATCCATCAACGGGATAACAATGATGCAGAAAAAAACTTCCTTGAGGGTTCATTTGCAGCGAGAAAGACATTTCCTTTTCGTTTCAATCAATCTTTGAGGACAACAAAGAACACTCAGGTTAACCATTCATTCTCTCAGTGTGGTAATCGAATTAACATAACGTCTATCTTTAGCTACTCACCATCTTTTCGAAAATTTCTATGAAAATTGCCGAAATATTTTTTAAAGATCGGTGATCAATTTTCTTAGAAATGAACTTTAAATTACAGAAATCAGATATTTCTGAAAGCCTATCCATCACTTCCAAAACAATTTTTTTGCTGCTGAAGACTTTTCCTTGAATCAAAATGATTGTGTCTGTCTGTTCAAAAAACGATACTGCATATCTGCGTGTATGTGTATGTGTGTGCTGCAGCTGCTGCTGCTGCTGTTGAAAAGCTTACAAGACATCTGAATCATTCAAACACAAATACAAACATCGAACGTTGGCAGATGAGGTCAGTTCGTTGAAACTTAGGTAAAGAGGGGGAGATGGGGGAAGAAATGATAATTGCCAAGCGTAATCATCGTTAAACACAAAGTATTTGTTCATCTGACTCATTTCATTTGTTAAATAATACTCTTATGAACAATAAATCTCGAAGAGATCATGATCTTATGTCGTCATAAACATGATTCAGTTGATGTATGCATAATCCTATTGCTAATAAGGTTTTTGCTTCAATTAACTTTGACTCGCAGACAACAATTCTTTGTCTTTTCAACTTCTGCACCCCACCATTCAGAGACTTGTTTCTGTTATGTTGGCAGCTTCATTTCCTCTTCCTTTGTAATTATCCCTCTTGATTCATTATCAGTTTTCCGCAACCTATGACATACAGGGAAGTTTTAAGCTTCAATCTGGTCTATCAGTACCTGACCGCTAGAAACAGCTAGTTTCCATCTTTCCTCAAACTAGTCACATAACTTGTTGTATAAAATTAAAATGAAACTTATACTAGTTTAATAGAAAACATGTAATTATTGAGAAATTCTTTAAAAATTACTCAAAAAACCGTTTGGAGACATTGAGGGACTCTCAGAAATAGCCTACACACGCGCACACACACCTCAAACACGTCAATGATGTATGACGCTTAAAGGGGATAACAAGTTAAGCTTCTGATTCAATGATAAAACTATCTCAGAACATTTTTAGTTTTCCAATTTAGAGAGAGAGAGAGCTGGAGGGAGAGAGAGAAAGAGAGAGAAAGTATAGAACTGATTGTTGAAATTCATCCATTCCAATACGACTGAAGAAGAAGAAGAAGGAATACGATTTTGAATGATAGAGAAACAGACGGCGAAATAGATAAAAGGAATAACCACGTGTACGACTGTATCATGGGAAAATCACATGAACGACATCTCTCATATTGAGCTTATTGTAGAATTGATGAAGAAAACTGCCAAAATCTAGATTAACATCTATTAATAGACGAAAATAAGTACATGTTGTTATACTCTACCCTACACGTACATCATCATCTAAGTTCAGTGGCATCTTCGATCAACCATGTGGTTGATCGGACAGTAAACAGTATCAGAAATAAGTTTAATAGATCTATTAATAGATCAAATACTTCATCCATTCTCTTTTACCAACCGTATAAGTTCAAACAAAAAAAGAATTGTCAACTTCATGTTTGACATCAATCAGCTTGGTATAGTGTCCTATCAGAGTGCTCCACTCACACACTCACACACACGCACTCACACACACACATACACATACAGACACATATACATACTTACGTAGAAAGAGAGGGGGTAGTTGTAGTAATGTTATATCATCCAGTTTTCGAAGAAATAGAAGAAGAAGTAAAAAAAAAAAACAAATAACTTTTCAAAAGTTAAACTTACCCTTGAACAACCGTTCACCGTGTTTACTGTAAACAAAAATGAATGTAAAGCTTGAAAACGTGTCTGTACGTGGAAACCACGTGGCCACGTGAACAGTAAACGTAAATATATGAAAACAGGGTAATTATGATAATTAATTGATTTCATTATCAATAGACACATATGATGATAGTTAAGAGATAATGATATGTATGTAGTTTAGTGTAAATAAGGTTTTCAGTCGTCTTCTTCTTCCATCTTCCACCTTCTTACGTCTTCATCTTCGTGTTCTGATGATCATCTACTACTCTTAACTCTTGTGATCATTGTGTTAGGCCAACTTCCTACATCATCACATGAATGTTTCATTTTTGAATGTTTTTTCTTTTCACTTCACAAAAAATGTAATGAAAATGATATTGAAGTAACAAACAGACAGACATCATATAAGAAACATAGTGACATTCAGTTGATAGATATGTATCAGTTGACTTGTCTTCTATTGAGACTGTTTCACTGAACATAGACACACACACACATACACACACATACATTTGACTTTCACATTAATAATGAATGATGTAACATGTTAGAATGACCATATTTATTCTATTTATAATCAATCGTTCATCTTCTTCTTCGTTCAACTGATACAGATGAGCAATGGGTGTGAGGCTGTAACAGATGAAGAAAAAGAAGACGACGTAAGACGCAATCTTCTTCATTCACGTGGTTATCATAAAAATAAAGAAAAATTGACTCCATCTCTATGAATGATAACAACTTGAACGACTTGATCAAGCCTTTTATGGACATTATTATTGAAATTGAAGTATTTTCATATTCTGACGCTGATAGGGAAATAGACAACGCGGCATGGAAAGCAAGGGAGCTGAAGAAGGTTGCTGGAGGGAAAGAAGGTAGTAAGGAGAGGGGATATGCTATCAATACTTAACTATATTATCTTGAGTTTTAATAAAAGGCTTATATCTTATCAACTCTCTCACTCTCTCTTAGCATCTCATCCTTCCTTACCATCTTCTTATCACAATCTATATTCTGGTTTTCTCTATTATAATTCAGCTTGTACTGGTCAACTTATAAGGGCATTTCTACCAGAATATACATGGCATCATAATTTTCCAGTTTCTGGCTGGAACTGCTTCTCTTCTCAAGAAGGATACTATATAGAAAGCAAAAGCGGTTCATGTAATAAACCAAGGACATTAACTTCTAGTTTATTTGGTCCTACAACGTTTTAAGGAAATTATAGTTTGGTAATTGTGTTGAGTTGGTCTCGAAACTCGACCCAACACGATTTCAATATGATCATGCAAAACATTTGGTCATTCCGATCATACATTGATCAAACGACGTACAACGGTTAAGAAGGTTCAGTTCCTGCATTGGCGACCATCCGTCGGCCTTCGTAACCTATGGGATTCTTCAACCAAATTTTGATCTCATCTGTTGAAATATTTGGTCACAAACAACCACCAGCGTCATACTATTGGTTTTAAAGATTTTCTTGTTTTTATCCAACTTCAACAACAAAAAAAGTGTTTATCTATCGTCTTGTCTCTCATTCCTTCAGGTCTGACGTCCATCTCCTCCCCTTGCCTCGCGCCAACTTTCACTCTCTCCAGCTCGTCTACTCCTGTATGTGGCATCTCTCTTGGAACGTTTGTGAGAGCAGTTTAACAGAATTTAAATTTTGTAACTTTATAACCAGAATTGATATTAAAATCAAATCAAAAACATAGAGAAATATACAAAAAGAGAAGAAAAAGAAGAAGTCAGTACCGTATTCGTAATTAGAACCTGCCCCCGAGAACGGAATAAACACTGCCAACTGTCTCTTTTTATGAAAAAAAAGAAGAGACATTGTGCAAATTTTCTTGTTGATGTTCGACTTCAAAATAAAGACAATACAACTAAAAGCTGAATGGAACATTCAAGAATATCTTGAATGTACAGAGAGTGAGAGAGAGGTGAGAGAGACAGAGTAGGTGAGTGAGAAGCAGAGAGAGAGAGAGACAAATGATGTCTTTGTTATTTTTTATTTCAAGTAACTACAAAACGATTATATAGATGACATAAGATCAATATCAAAATGGCTTCCTTCCTTCATACAGTTCTCATTGTTGCTCGAGCTTCTTGATATCCTGATAGGATGTGCTCACAAATGATATGAAGGAATGTCTGCCATGCTTTGAGATCTTCCTTCGACACACCTCCAATCTCCTCCAATTCTTCAATCATAGCTACCATAAACTCATCCCAATAAACAATCTTAAAAAACATATAATTTATAAAGTTTTTAAATAGATTTTCCATGCTATAGATTGTCATTAAAGAACAATTCTGAACGATTGTTTACTAAAAGTGTCTGGCACGGTCACAGAAAATGACATAATGTGATGGTTTGTCTCGAATGTACGATGGTTAAGATATGTACAAACACATACACATACATACACATACATACAGTCAGGTTAGAGAGAGACCTATACATCTTTTCAAATTCAAATTATTAAAAAACGAAACTGAAGAAGAAAGTGAAGATGGAAAGAGAGGGTTAGGGGGTTGTGATAGGAGAGTGAGAGTGAAGAATGAAGAGAGATGGGGTTAGGATTGTCAAGGACGACATCAACAGTTTTCCGGAAAAAGCTGATGAGAACACAATTATAGCTATTTACATATTAAACTTATAGAAAACAAATGTTGAAAGAGACTTATGGAGATAGGAGATGTGTGTGTGTGTGTGTTCGTGTGTTAAGGAGATGGTAGGAGATGAAAGGAGATGGAGTAGAGGGAAGGCTAGAAGGGTAGAGAAGGACTAGATAAACTATAAGGAAATCGCTTTAAAACGTGACATTCTGCAAGCTTTTTTGAGAACAATTATTGCAGATAACTGTCTCAGTTTCTCATTTGAGATATCTTTGAAGAATAGAACGACTGCTAGATGATAGAATGTCTAACTTGAATAGGTTCATCATCAAAGATATTTCCATCACAGTCATACATAACATATTTGAATAAGACATCTATGGATGGACATTCATTATCACAGAGAGTGCAGACACTATAACAACGCAAAAAACACTCATAGAAATAGCAAAAGACTGTTGACGTAAAGAGATCGACAACCGAAAAGATAATCGTTCATAGAAGACGATCGAAAATTGCACCTTCCTATCGTCTTTATAGGTTAGGGATCGATCATACGCTTTCAAAGAAATTTAATAAAATATCAAAAATAGTCTTTGGGACTAAACGGAAATTGTCAACTCTCTCTCTCTCTCTTACTTTCTCTCTCTCTCTCTATCTTTCTTCTCTCTGCTAGTACTAATGATTGAATGAAAGGGACATGTTTCATCAATTTTCTGCAAAATTAACCTTTTTTTTCATATCCGTCAACCTTCTAGCACCCACACCCACACCCACACCCACATACCTACTATACTTACAAAGAGAGAGAAAGAAGAGTAAAAAAGTAATGAAAGATTACCTTAAAGGGTTCTTTCGAATAAGCAGCATGTTGCTGACCCATTGTATAACATGAATGTCTAAACTCAGAAATGTTCGAGATAACATCCTCCTTCAATAACAATCATGATTACTATTTATAAATATCATATCCATACCATAATTAGACATCCAAACCAGCCTGTTATTCTATTTGCTAATTGGCCCAATACGAAATCTCTTTCCTCATCATTCTGAGCATGTGATCTACTGGCCATGAATATATCGCGCATTCCTTCATTTCTACGGATTACATTGAGCAATACCTTAATTGGAATAGAATATATTTGAAATATATAATCTCAGATACTTTATGGAAATACTCCTGTTGAGATACAATACATGAGTTCCATACTTCTCGGATGCGCACAGGTTGAATACGTGGACGACCACGTAATCTATCGAGCAAAGCTCCCATTACAATAACATGAGCATAATAAATGAATAAACTAAAACAGTGTTTCAATGAAGATGCGAAGCAGAGAGAGAGTAAGGAAGACGACTCAAGAAAATCTTCCAAGAAAACTACATCTTGGAGGTCTGTCCAACAGAACTCACTCAAAACCTTCTAATTGTATTTGACAAATGATTGTTTAATCCATTAGCCATTCGAGTGCCAAAACCTTAAACTCTCAAAAGCTCACAAATAGTTCCTTTCCAATACACTCACACACATTCCTAATTTAAATTTGACAGTTTACTTGTGCCCAATGAACTCAATTAAAATTAGAATAAAGGAAAGTTCACAGTAAGTTCACGGGAACGTCGTGTACGTGGAATCGTAGCACGCGCATGCAAGGATTTTATTTTCATATGCTTAACATACAAAGGCGGTTGCATTCAGTTTTAAAAAGAGGAAACGAATGTTGACCATCATTTGTCGACTGATTTTCTTTTTTTCCCAACTTCAGTATTTCCAATCCAAACTTGGAAATCCTTCTTTTCACACAATTCAACAGAAGCTGCTCTCGAAAGCGTACACTCATAACTCGAATAGAGAAGTATAGTGTCCAAACGAAAACAACCAAAGCCATTTTCTCACAAACTTTATCTGTTTAAGGTAATAGTAACAATGACCGAATACAAATTGGCGGCAAATGGAACAGTTTAAAACATGACATGTTGTTCTAAACTCAAGTACAACATGCATGATTTGTTTTGATTTTCTTTAATTAAGGTCAGGACATGGGCTCGTGTAGAACCTGTTTGAATATATGATATTTCCGTTTTTTTTCTTAAAAAAACAGAAACAAATATGGAAAGTTTGTGATAGTTAAACAAAGTTTTGCAAATAGCCATGTTTTGATTCAAAACTGCCCAAGCTGACGTCTGTCTGGGAGTCTGCAGCATCCGATACCTCCATTCGGCAAGTTCCAAAGGGTTAGTTTATTGATAATGTCTGTACAAGCTGTTTCTCACTCAACCATCTCTCTTTTCCTGAAACTGCATCCGACTCGTAGCACCTGCTCACATAAAATGATTCATTTACCTTCAAGACGAACTTTAAAAGTCGGAGCATTGTGTGGATAGCTTCTACGAAGAGACAATGATGCAAGAGAGAGAGAGAGAGGGAGAGAGAGAAAGAGAGAGAGAAAATGGGAAGAGGGAGAGAAACGTAATGAAGAAATGATAGTCAGTACTTCAACTAAACTAATTTCAAAATCACCTCAGATGGAGGCAATCGATGGTAGACGATAGCATACGTCTTCATATATGTTGTGAGAGATTATTGGGAGATTACTTTCTTTCTTCTTTTTTTTCATCTGCAGAACGGAATAGATGGCATTAATGAGCTGAATTCACCGGAAATGTTCAATGTTCCATTAATGGAAATCTCTTCCCTGCTGCCACCATCACCATCCATTCATATTCGGATTGTTGGAGAAAAAAAAAGAAAATTTATTCATTCGAATGCTCCATTCTCAATGTCCCTTGGGCTAATTTCTATTTTATTCGTCTTTCGTCCCTACCTTAACCATCATCTTCTTCTCATTTCATCTGCGATCGTTCACATTACAGCGGTCGAGTAGGCGCGCCCGACCGGAAGCGATTCTCGCTCTGTCTTCCCCCCTTTAACCACTTTTTCGTCCAATATCAGCAACAGCAACCGGACAGCAAATCATCCATTTTTGCTTTGATTATATGGAAAATCGGATATCGATTAGAAAACATTTTTTTATCGTTCTTTTCAAATATCAAAATCTGCATATTGTTATCGATAGTGGCATTATGAGATGAGTGCGCTTTCTGCTAAATGATTATCTATCTCAATCCGCCTCCAGAAATATCTTTCATTACCCTTTTCCTTTTCTTCTCCTTCTCTCTGTTTCTTCATATCTTACTTTCATCTCTTCCACCTCTCTCTCTCTCTCCTTCTCTCTCTCTCTCTCTCTCTGTTCCTTTTCCCCTTTATTCATTTGCCTTGTCTGCTCTTTTTCGTATTTCTTTTCTATAATCTTATATACATGTGTGTGTATCGCTTTAGTTCTTCATTATCATGGAATCCAGTTTTTACTTCATTTACACACTAGTAGTAGTAGTAGTAGTACTGCTACAGCGACACCAAATATGCTTAGAATATCTGTTATTTTCCTAATTTTGAGGTTTTCTCGTCAATGATCATTGTTTTCGCCTTCTCCCCCCCACCACCCACTAGCAATAGATGCTCAAATGAAGATTGCTTCTGAAAAGCCGTAGATGTTGATGGAGTTATGATAAAGGCATGTGTTGAAGCTCACACACACACATATTTCCCTCTCTCTCTCTGTATTTCCTTTTCTCTCTCTCTCTTTGCTTCATAAAAACTTATTGAAAATATATTTTATTCTATGAACTAGTTATAGAGCGAATCTATAAAAAGTACAACGAGTACCGTGTGTCTCTCTCTCGTTCTCTTTCTTCTTGTTCTTACTTTATTAGTCTCATATCAATGTGTGTATTTGTGAAAACGTATGAACCTTCAACCATTTTTTTTCAGAATTTATTTTAATTAACTTAATTCGAAGAATGATCTAATTTTACACTTTCTTCTGTCTCCTCTCATCCATCTTCTTGTGGTAGCATAGTGAGCGTTGTTTGATCGTCATCGATGTATCTCAACCATAAGCTACCTTCACTTCAGTACTCTTCCACGTATCCTTTTCTGTGTCCTTTCATGTAACTCTTTGATTATGTTATTACAGATTGAGATCAATACCAATAAACCAGGAACAGCTTGTCATCTTTATGAATTATATCTTTCTCCGCATCTTGACCTTTCCTTTAATACATAGTCTCTCACTTGGCTTTTCTTTCTCTCTCTCTTGATCGCTTCTTTCTCTCTCTTCTTCTATTATTCCCTCTTTTTCTCTCGCCCTATGTGTATTATTTCTTCTTTCTTCATCATCTGTGTCCATCTGTTCCTCTGTATTCCCTATCCTCCCCAACCCTTGGTAAAGGGTCAGGCAATTAGCATTAGCACACATTATCGATTTTGTTCACCACCCACGCATAGTTCAAACCGTTGTTTCCTCTTTTGACTCTTCATCTCCAGCTTTTTTTCCTTATCTTGTTATGGTTAGCGAGCCGATGACTCAATATGGTATGGTGCTGCAAATTGCTATTGTAGAAAGGTTGATGCCATTTGCGGCGTTAGCGTCTTCGTTCAACCTTTACCATATTGGTTAATCCCCTGAAACTCTCTCTCTCACTGTCCCTTCTTTGTATTTTGTTGGTTTTGTCTGTGTCTATCAGCCATTCCATTTCAGTTTCTTCTTTTTACTTATTTTTTGCTTCTATGATTCCATCAAACACTTCCCTTTTTTGTCGAAATTGTCAAATTCCTTCGCTTGCATTTTCCTTGAGAAAAAAAATTTCATTTCGATCAATGAAAATCGTAATATTCATCGAATGTATTGTGATATTCGTAATCGTATCGAACTTCTCTCTCTCTGGGGAATATAATAGTCGTCGTGGTTAAAGGTTCTTCTCTCCACTAGAGCTGGGTTTGACTCTTAATCCTCTTCTCAAAATGAGTTAAATGTTCGAGGAAGCCATAATTGGATATATTATTCCACAAATGTTGCTTCTTTCACTCTTTTATTGAATTATATCCGCGTTTTCCCGATTTCTAATTGTACATTCGTCATTCCGAAGAGTTACAACATTCCTCATATCGTATTCGTACATGCTATCTTGTATTCAGTGTTTGAACAGTGACTCTACACCCTCTTTACAGATTGATAAAATGATTCTTGTAAATTAAATATGTTAACAGCTAATTGGATATGGTATTCTTCCTTTATTCTCTTATTGCTGAGGCACGAAACAGTTCAGGTTAGTTGTCTTTGCTACTATTCCCTTTCTACAATCGCTTCTGTTGCTTACAGGCGGCATCTCATAGACTATCATCAAACTCCTCACTTATCAAGAAACCAAAAACAGCCGAAGAACTAGGTGAGTAATCTTTCAACGCTTTTCTTCCATTAATTTATATTGCATTACATCATATGCTAATTTCATTACGTTCATATGTATATTACCTCATTAGCATAATACGTGAGCTCGCGTTTAATCAAATTATTTTTGAAATGAGCGTCCAGTTGGTCGGTTGTTCTCGCCTCTCCATATGTTCTCAATTGTTTTTTTTTAAATTCCAAATTTGCAGGTGTTCCAAAATGTACCAGCAATTATAACTGTGTGAACAACGGAGCTTGTGTTCGAGACGCGGACGGTAATGGACGTTGTCTTTGCCCTAGAAGTTGCCCACCCGGTAAGATCATATACTTTGAATTCAGTTCAATGCCCTTTTCAGTGATTCCAATTAATTGCAAATATTCGCGTGATGATTCCTCTTGCTTGTCCATGGGAGACGAATACTCTCGGAAGTATTCCATTGCTGAACCAACTTGTCATAGAGTTCGTTATTTGCCTCATTACTTTCATTACTATCTTTCTATTCTAGTCACGATGTTTGTGTCCTCCAATGTTCGAACCTATCGTTAATAGTAGATTTCCTGTTAAAAATTTGTTACCTACGAAATGCGATAAGAGTAAGCTGAAAATTTACATTCATTAGTGTACTGTCAATTTGTAGGAGAGCTTCAAGTTATCGGTGTTGCGTATCCATCTGATTCAGTCTACAAAGGAGCTGATGTCACGCTCTACTGCTGCATAAATATAGATCCTATTAATCACATCGACGCGAATGGAGTAAGATGATTGCCCTTTGACAACATCGCTAATGTTAATATTACTTCAGGTCACTTTTGTACAGAATGAAACTGTCACACGTGAACCAACCAAACATCCTTTCCGTGAACTGCTGTCAGAGTACGAACAGCTCACAACACCATCATGTTGGGAATTAGAAATCAAGAACGTCCAATTGTCAGACAGTGGATCATACATGTGCATCGTTACTCCATCAACAAATTATACACCAGTGAATTATACGATTGAGTTTCAAGTCAAAGGTTAGTGTTTTGAATTTTCTGAGTTTTCTTATGTTGTTGGAAAAATGTTGTAGAACATGAAAAGCGTCATCACGCTTGGTTTAAAAGAACCAAAAAGTTAAATAAATTAGGGAAACGTAAGTGAGAAGTTGTGTTGTGATTTAAGATAATTTTAACAGTGTTTTGTGAGCATGCCTTCAGCTAGTTGTTTTCTCTGTAAATCTGATTTCTTTCTAGCTCCACGAATGATCCAGAACTTGGCGATTCATGCTAATGAAACAGCTGCAAATATCACTTGGGATATTCAAGAAGGACCACAACTCAAAATAGACTTGAAGTAATCTATTGTTTCATTTACACGTGGTCATACTTTTCTTTAGACTGTTGAGAAGAACGGGTTATGAAGGAAAAGAGGTCTGGACACAGGAAAATGCCATCTCTCCTGTAACAATTGGTCAGTTGAACCTATTCAATATATCTTATAATATGATTTTCTTTCAGGAAGCCTCAGATCAGCTACACCTTATACTTTGTTTGTTAGTGTAAGAGATGGACAACTCGAACCGTTCCAACTCTCGGAACATTTCACTACTCTAGAAACAAGTAAACTACTAAGTAAACACAGACTATTCCATTGTTTATATTACAGAACCATTACCTCCCAAGTACGTTGGTGTACGGGTTGGATACAACTCGGGTCCTTCTAACAGCGGTTCCTTTTTGAACTGTGAAGTTGAATGGAGAGCGCCAGCTTTGACAAATGGTCGTATAGTGAAATATTATGTGAGTATTACTCAAGTGTTGTACTTACTAACTCAAATCTAGGTGCGTGTTCGGGGTCAACTTCGAAAGTCACGTCCAGGCGGTCCACTAGTCCCGGATGATTTCCCCCCATCTGTTGAAAAAAAGTGTGCAAATTGGGATGAAACTGAACAGGCTGTTAATGGAATCAATCCTATCGAGTTCTCAAGCGATCTGTATTTCTGTAAATATGGACCTCTGAAACCTAATAGAAACTACACTGTAACGGTATGGGCTGAGAATGCTGCTGGAAAGTCATCTCCAGTTACGTTCCCAAAAACTTGCGTTACTCATTATGCTGAACCTGACCAGGTAAGAATACACTATGTCTTATATTTAATCATCACTTTTCAAGGTTGAAAAGCCCACAACTTCTGCTGGAACTAATCATTCTTCATTTTCACTAACGTTCAATCAGAAGCCTGAAGATATAAACGGTCCTATAAGGTATAGTTGAAGTATGTTCTGTTTATATTTTGCTTTTTCTAGTTGTTATTACATTGCTGTTGTTCCTCTACCGAAGAATGTTTCGTTAGATGGTCTTCCTCAACCCGCTAACATTGCAATGGATACTCATACAAAGGTATCTTGTATTCTATACCTCTTGACAATAGATTTTCTCAGGCTTTCTCAAATAATCTACAGCCGTACACGGAACGAAAAGTATATTTCGCATATATTGCTGAGAGTTATGCACACCTGCCCGATCGCACGGTTATTGGTGATGATCTTTACATACCGGGTATCAAACAATGCAATATGTTGTATGTCATAGCTGTATAATACGAATATCAAATTTCATCTTATAGATATCTTAGCCGTTATTCCGTTTCCGATAAGCCAATCAAACAGGGGATAAAGTATACAGGATTCTTGATTGTCAGGTATTGTTTTGATATATTTTTGTTTTTAACCTTTATACCTCAGAGTTGATAAGGAGAAAGATGACGTTGAAGTTGGTCCTTCACTTCTAAAGAAAAAGAACAGTATACGATATTTGAGGAGTGTATCTGATAGGTATTGTTCACTTCATAGTACAGAAAAACAATTTTTACCTATTAAGTAACTCTCCTCACGTTTTTTCATCTGGTCGAGCTATAAGACAATTGCATATGAGTGGGCCTGTTTATGGATATAGTGCTTATTTTAAACCAGTTTTCCTACAGGAGGATGGTTATCAATATTTTCCGTGTTATGTCTCATCAACTTTACTTTCAGACGGAAGTTCTCTTGGGACAGTGTTTAAAGTTGTAGGACCTGTTTTATTATTTGCTGTAATGGCAAGTGTTGTGGGTTTGGTCATCATGCAAAGGTTTTTATTGTTTCTGTTAAATACTAATTCATTTATCTATTAGGAGAGGGATGTTGAGTAACTGGTGGCCTTTGAAAATTGCAAAAGAAACTCCTGAAAGAACGCTTCTCAAACCAACTTACCAGGTAGAACAAGGAAGTTGATGAAAACTATTGAGAAATTTATAGGCTGTGTTAATCGAAGATCTTCCGTCAGAATATCTATTAAGACATCGAGATTCTGATTTCATGTTCAGCCAAGAGTTTGAGGTTTCCTATTTTTTCTATTCTCAAAATTCATATTGTTCTTTAAGTCTTTACCATCCTATGCGTTCGAAGCCTTTTCAAGTAATAGGAAAGAGAATGCGGCCAAAAATAGGTATTTGTACTTTCACAGTCTTTTCTAAAACGCTGTCACTTCAGATATAACGACATCAGGGCTTTCGATAGTACGCGAGTCAAACTGAAGAAAATAAATGGTAGTGAGTACTCTGATTATATCAATGCTAACTATGTGAACGTGAGTACCAAACATGATTGGTGGACTTTGTCAACAATTCAATTATTCTAGGGATGGGATATGAGAAAGAAGTTCATTGCAGCTCAAGCTCCATTAGAAAACACACTAGATGACTTCTGGCGTATGATTTGGGAGCAGGTGAGCACAGTCCACGTGCGTGGTATGTAGTATGAACCTTTACAGGATTGTCGCGTGGTTGTTATGGTCGCTAACTTACTAGAGAAAAATAGGAATCAATGTGCAAAGTATTGGCCTGATGATATCTCTATTAGGTATGATAATCTTGGAATACAACATAGTATATCTTATTTAAGATATGGTGATTATAAAGTTGTTCCTGTATCTTCAAACTACAATGCTTGCTACACTGTTCGTACTTTTGATTTGATAGATATGAAAAGCTCAGGTGCTTCTGGATCTAAGAGGTTTGATCTTTGAATAATTGAATCATCAGAATATTTTCATTTATAGATCCAACTTTAGCTCAGTTGAATCGAACATAGGTTCTGAGTATGCGAATGTGCCATCTGCAAGGCTCAGTGGACGAGTTGATACTCCATCGAACGACGGAGATGATGGTATCATTGATTTGAAATATTTGCAAAGTTCTATTTCTTCAGTTCGTCGCATTGTTCAATACCATTTCACTACATGGAATGATTACCGTGCCCCAGAATGCTCAACTGGATTACTGAGGTAGATATTTGGCTCATGTTTCGGAATTGAATTGTGTGTTTCAGATTTGTTAACAAACTCCGAAGTCTTCCAGAATTCAATGAATATCCTGTTGTTATCCATTGCAGGTTTGTCATTCTAGCATGCTAATCGGTTTGATTGGTCATTTTTCAGTGCCGGTGTTGGTAGAACTGGTACTTTTGTAGCCATAGATAGTATGCTAGATCAACTAGAAACGGAAGGGAAAGCGAACATATTCAGCTTCGTTTCCGATTTAAGAAAGCAGAGAAACTTGATGGTTCAATCTTTGGTTTGTCCTTACTTCTACTATGTACCGGAAACGTGTGTTGTAGGAACAATATGTGTTCATCTATAAATCACTAGCTGAGTGGTATCTGTATGGTAATACTGATGTGGAAGCGGAGGAATTAGAAGCGTGTTATAATAGGCTAATAGATCCGAGTGATAGGTTAGGGTGTTTGAATGTCTCTTTTTATATTCTGTAATATATTTAGATCATTCCGAAATATGACTACATCAGGCTTTGCCTCGCGACCAGATTCCAGTGCGCCCAAGAACGGATTAGAATCGCAGTTCAAGGTAAGACTCCGGTGTAGTGTTCTAAATATGATTAATATCAATTAGAAATTGAATCAAACTCTCGAACCCACACCGAAGATATCGTTTGCTCTCAAAGAAGAAAATATCATGAAAAACAGATTCGAGGCAGCAGTTCCCTACGACAAGTAATCGTTTCTTAATATCTGGTTTTCTAACTTTCAACATTCTAGGAACAGGGTAGTGCTAGCACCGCTAATGGGATCAGTCGATGATTCCTCTTACATTAACGCTAGTGAATTGAAGGTATTGTGATATTTTGGGCTGACATATATTCATTCCATGTTTTCAGGGTTACTTCTACCCGTATATTCTGGCTCAAGATCCTGTGAGTGAGAACACTGTTTTTGATTTCTGGAGAATGATCAGTGAAAAGAACGTTACAACCATTGTCATGTTATCTAGAGAAGATGATTTGAGTTATTCTGAAAGAGTGAGTACCATCATCTGATTATGATGTCATTACAATTGATCAATTTCAGTATTGGCCGGAAGATAGTTGCAAAGAGTTCATTGCATCGAAAAATCAACATCGATTCATAGTCCAATTGCTGAGTGAAGAAACGTTCTCATACTATCATGTCAGAAAGCTTCTATATCAATCATCGGTATTTGCTGGTCAGATCTATATGAAATAATAAAATGATTTCAGCAAACGGGCAAAGAATGGGTAGCGGTGACTCAGTACTGTTTGTTGGATTGGTCAACTGATCAAACTGTTCCATCATCTGCCAGTTCTATTTTATCATTGATAGGACGTGTTCTAGAAACTCAGAGTCAGCTTCCGGACTCAGGTCCTATTGTTGTTCATTGCCGGTATGATTTATTTACAATTATCGGACGTTTTATGTTTTTTTTAGAAACGGATCTTCCCAAGGGGGCATTTTCTGTTCGATTTCTCTCTTGTTAGAAAGGTTGAAGACCGAACAGAAAGTGGACGTTTTTCAAACGGTGAAAATGCTCCAATCACAGAGAACAATGATGTTCACGAAATTGGTAAGTAGCTATGAGAAGCTTAGAAACCTAACAATACCATATTTGCAGGAGGAATATGATTTTTGTTATCGGGCGATTATAGAGTATGTGCGACATATGACAAAGTGCCACAGACTCTAAAAGTTTTTATTGTTGTCATTCTCACTCATATGATGATCTCTCTCGCCTTATTTCAAGAGACGTTCTGTTTTCAGTCTTTTTGATGAACGGGTATCGTTACTTTCGTTTTTAAACAGTTTTCTATTATTAGTGTTTTTTCTTTAAAAGTATTGGTTCTCTGAGATGTCAGGGATATATAATCCTCGGTTAAACTAGTCAATGTAGATCACTTTATTCATTGCAATCAGTTTGTATGTGAGCATGAAATGGCTTAATAAGATTAAGAACAGTTTGTAGCTGTCTTTAACCTCAATCCTCAACTTCTTTCAATAGTTCTAATTGTAGAAGTGTTTAAACTCCTCTCTCTCTCAGTTATTAGTGGCCATACATTTAAGTCCCACGAGTATTTTTGTATATATTGATTGATTAACATCTGACTTTTACATTTTGTTCATTCTGCTACGTTTATCTTCCACACTCTCACACGTATATATAGTTCATATATATATATATATATATATATAGCTTTCAATAATAATTATTTATTTTATAACTGTTATGTTTGTTTGCTGGGAAGTAAGCTTCGCACTTTGAGATAGTTAGTCGTATCGATAGGATATCTGCAACGGATGTTCTCAAGTTACGACATACATCTCACTCTTACCTGTTGTACAGAAAGAGTAGACAGAAGAAGATTGAAACTGATACAAGGGACAGAGACGAAATCCGAAAATGTGACAACAGGAGTCGGAACATTCTATCGAGACTAGCTTGCTTCTCTTCGATCGAGAATAGCTTGCTTCTCCATCAATGCACGTACAACTGTGATGCCATAGAAACCCATGGAAACAAGAATATTCTATGTGACAGGGCGCTTTTTAGAAATTTTCATTAACAAAACAATTGCACATATATACGAGATCAGTTAAACAGTTCAAATATCAATCTAAGATAATCCCATCTTCTCATTCAGTTCGGAATTGAGTGCTGTGGAGGTTTGAGAGGCCACCTCATTCATATACTGCAGACCATTCAATCCCATCCTATTCATTATGTGGCCCATGGAAGGGAAACCGATGGATGTGCCACTGTTCACATTCACTCCTATCAAAGGAACAGCCATTCCCTACACTCATGCATTATTGACTTCAAGATTTTGACGTACCTTGTTAAAAGATATTCCCCCGTTGTACCAGTCAACACCTACTCTATCAGCTAGCCCAATATATGGTCCTACATGATAGCCGTTTGTAACTTGAATTGGTTTTCCTATTTCTCCTTCTTTCATTGGGACAAGGACCTGAAGAAACCATATATAATACAACTTTGATTTGTAGCTACCTGAGTACCGGCACCGCCTTCAACTCCCAGACTCTGAGCAATTGGAATGCTCCAACCTGTTTTGTATCCATAAGTACCTAGATGATCAATGAATGAAAGTGAAGTGCTAAAGAATGCTCACCTTCATACCAGTTTGCACCATATTCTCCTGTTTGGGACCAGAAATCACGAACTCCTAGGTTATCAGAGTAGCCACCACCCCAAGATCCGAAATCAATCTTTCCGTGGTGACCATTACCGATGCCTCCTTCTTCGTTCACAGCATAGTATGGAATACCATTGACTCCCCAGTCATAATAAGTCAATCCGACTCCAGAAGAGAAAGCATTAGCAACAGCGCCCAGTGGGCGAGCCTTTGCTTGGAATTCAGCACAGTCTTCATTATATCCTTGGCATTTAGCTACCAGCTCTGGAGGGATCTTTGGTCCATAACAGTTCTGGAAGGTTGATTGTGGTTTTCAGCTTACCAGTTGATGAAGTGGGGTTATTGTCATACCTGAGCAGCAACTTTGGAAAACTTATAACAAAGTGCATAAATGTCTTTCTTGGACAGTCCCAGTTGGCCTATAGGTACTCTTCCTGTGAACTTGAACGGATTGCTTAAAAATTCAATACGAAGATTATGAGTACCTGTTGCACTTTATGCTTGATTGTGTCTTTGGAATCTGTAGTGAAGGGGTTTGCAACTTCGTTTTCTTCTTTTGTCTCCTGTTCTATGAACCCTTCTCCTCCATCTGATGCAAGTTTTGTATTTCCTAGCAAATCACTGTCCTCAACCTTAAAAAGAATTAATCTGGATAGAGTTGAGGAAAAACCGTTTTCGATGCAAATGCACGAGCTGATTGGCCGGAAGACAAGTCAGTTCTATCGCTAGACTGGTTGATGATCTCTTGAACCTGATAGAGTGTTATCAAATCTCAAACGCTTAGAACAACCTCTTTGAATGGGCTTGATGGTTTGAAAGCGCTTTGACTGATTGGCTCATAGTTCTTGTTAGCATTAGCAGTATTAGTATCCTTTATGTAGAAGTAATCGCCGATACGTTCATCCACATCTGTGTTGACGCGATCTTCTTCTTGATCTGATTTGAGTTTTGGAAGCTCCAGGAAGGGTAGAACTGAGAAATGAAAGCTTATGTTCGAAAGCGTAGTTCTTCAAACTCTTTTTAGAAAAGTCCAATATGCCTGTTCCTTGTTCTCGAACATCTGAGATTTTTATTGTCCCCAAACCAGCTATTGAAGCCTGACGAAGTTAATAATCAGGTTTTTTTTAGAAATTCAAGAAACTATTCTCTTACTTTGGCACTTGATCCATACTCTTCACCGGTCGTTGACTCACTCTTCATATATCCCATGTTTGGGCTATCCGGCAGTTCATAGGTTCCACCATTGAATGGCTCGTTCTCAGCACCCTCTGCACACATGAATGTATTTGAGTACTTTTTCTATTCTTAACCTGGGATGAATTTGGCTACAATCTGTTCAGTATCTCCTGCACCCATAATACCAAGACCATTTATAGGCAGCTTAGTATCTCCACCAGTTTTATGGCCGAATGCCAGGGGGCCTAAAGAACTATTAGTTTGGTGAGAAGGTGAAGCAGACCTATGGCTCTCAAGAGATTAGCGGGGCTTCTCCGAACTTCATAATTAAATCCTAATGGTTTAGCTATTGGAGCATCTCTCCTGAATCGATGATAGGACTCGATGAAACTTGTTGGTCGAGCTAAACAGATAGTGAGCATGAGATGAAACAGTTTTCTTACCATAACAGTGAGCTACAAGAAATAAGAAAGCACAAAAACAGTTTGTGACCGTTAGCCACATGATGAAAATACTGATTGCGGCTTACGAGCTAGATGTTCGAGATTTCACCCATATGCGCAAAAGAACTTTTTAATTTGAAACCGGCTTTAGAACGAGATTTGACAACCCTTTGTCTCGAAGAAAATGCTTGAAATCGTTTCTTATCTGGCTACACCTAGCCGGGAGAAACAAGTGAGAACACGAAAACATGACGCCTGATAAGGTCTCTCAGTTCTTTATAAATCACCACAACACTTCATAGAAGGAAATAGATGAAACACGGTTAACTATTGTTAGCTCTCTATACAAGTAAATATAAAAAAGAAAGATTTATCGCCTAAAAGATGTTGGAAAACCGGTCAGTCGCTTCCTTTCATGTCACTCAGCTCCTAAAGGGCATCAGAACGGGCATGTTTCAAAAAACATCTACAAAAATACCTTTAGAACTTTCCATCCGTTTGATTGTGTTTTCAAAATATAATCAGGATTGTCTGGACGAACAGAAAGCCTGTTTGTTCTGGAGCAAAACCATTTTAAGTTGGTCCAATCAACAAACCATACCTTAAGCCGTAGATCAAAGAACAGACTAATCGAGCCCGGATGCAATACATCAGAAGGTGTCTATCATTGAATTGCTTGTTCATTTCATAACCTTTAACCAGTCGAGAAATGATCGTTTGAAGGCTCAAAAAACAAGATAGTCAAGAACAGGTTGAAGGTTATAGACATTACCTAAGCTTTGAATCGCAAAGATATAAATAGAGAGCACACGCGGCAATATCGCAACCCCTATATGATACATGGACATCTCCAAAATCAAGTACACCAGAAATCTATAATAGAACACAATCAATAATGCGTTTTTGCGAAAACATCATTTGCATAAATGACGTGACGTGAGCGTGCGGGTGGTATACGTTTCATTTTCACGTGAAAGGAAGCATAGAACGGTTGTACCTGGAGTTCGTTATTATCATCCGGACATATTAATATATTCGTTTCGTTCAAATCGGAATGTATCAAACCTTAAAGAACCCTTTTATGAATTGAAAGAGAATATGAAGTAGTACACACCGACATCTAGTGAGTCTCGTCTGTTATAGATATTCTCTTTATAATCCTTTAAGAATCTGATAGCTAAATTGCTTTTATCCTCATCGAGCATTTTTCTTGAAGACAATATCTCAATTTCCCGGAAAAAACAATCGAAATTATCAGCAGATATGAATGGCAGATGAGAAGTCTCATCTGAAATGGCCATTTAGACTGTTCAAGTGTATGGAACAGCTTACACTGTCTCTCATCAAACACTTGGTGCATCTGACTGATCATACTTCCAATCTTAATGAGAAAGCCCTCGTCAATCTCAAACTTCTCTAGTACATCTCCTGGCAACGTTTTGAACATACGAATAGGTAATTGTTCTTGGATATTATTAGATTTCTTTGCATAGTCAGTTCATACCTGTTTGAACGTTGATGTATGCCCACATTTTTCCATCTGTCATAGGTACCAGCTCGGGCGCAGGAATTCCCTGATTGTTGAGAGTTTGACAAATGTCATTCTGAAGATCTGGGAAACACATGAGAAAGAAAGGATCAAATGATCAACCTAAATGTCGAGAATCTCGGGCTTCAATGGGATTGGAAATTTTGACAACAACGTCATCAACTACATCATCGGGAGCAATATTTGTGAGTCGGAAATTTATATCTTCATATCCAGAGAGATTGATGAGTTGGCCTTGAAGTGAAACTTTTTTGAAAATACTATACTCAATCAGTTACCTGATTGTATACCATAGAAAGACTTAATCAAATCAAACTTTTTTGCGTCGGAGAGAAAAGGTGCTTGAGTAGGCTCATCTTGACCATAGATCAAACTCATAACTCAATGCGTTGAAGAAATAAGGCAAAGATGGTGGGGGGGGGAATGGAATGAATATGTTCGTTGAATGTATGTTCCAATCGATATTTGATAAAGAATGTTAAAGATTGTCATTGTTCCACACATAATCAAGAAGAGATGAAAATAAAACGTTTATTGATTAGTTGTGTGTATGTGTGTATGCGTGTGTGTGAGCGTGTGTATGATGAGTCTGTTGTATTGCTTTCTTGAAGATCTGTCGTTCAAGGAAAATCCTCGATATTATAAGAGAACACATCACTCTCTACTGGTTCCTCGAATAGAAAAGCTTCACTTTTACAGCTTAAATCAGAGGATAATCTTAAAAATATTATTTTTTCATTAAATTCTCAGATGAATGGAGGAGAGAGACAGCATATCTCTTCTGCTCTAGTTACCTTGAACATTGAGATGATGGTCTACTGTTAGGAGCTGAAATGGCTGTTGATAGATGACACTCATAATTCTGATTGGAATAGTTATGATGCGTAACAACTATCTCTGGTAGAAAGCCTTGGAATGATTTGGCTCGAGATGGTGGCTTGATCAGAGCTGGAAATCGGAGAGTGTTCGGAACACTTCCGGTCGAAATGCGCTCCTTAGCTGAAACATCAACAGTGCTACTGATAAGAAGAATTAAATACAAACCTCCATGATAGCTAGAGCTTCTACCTCGCAGTCTACGCATTCCTCGAAGCCCCAGCTGTGTAAGCCATGCTTGAGCTCTTCCTTTATCTTCTCTTCAAACGTAATTATTGTTATATGAAATGTTTCTATTTGAAAATAGACTGACTTCAATTTCCGTCGTTGACGTTCACGCTCTTCGTAGTCGACATGAATCTGCATAGATGCCAGCAGCATTGCCACCAAAAAAAGATTTGAATTTTAAAAAATCAAAAATCTGCTTCTCACACCTGATCATCTACATTCTCACTTTTGCGAACAGATCGAAATAACAAACATACAATCACTGAAGCAAACACACCAAGTATGGCAATTATGTAAATATCAGCTCCTCTTTTATGTTCCTAAATATAGATGTTGATTTGAACTGACTGAAATAGATTCTCTCTAATCACCCTAGAATTCTTATAATCACTCCAAGCTTGATTATTTATCTGATTAGCTATGAAGACTAAACTTTGAAAGCATTCCGATGTTGCATCATCAGTTACAGTAGTATGGTTGATATGCAAATTGAATGTATTGTTTGTATTAACATAATGAGGCAGCATAGTTAAGATCTGAATAGGATGTATTATATACTGAACAGTACATATGATATACATGTGAGCTGATGTCTATAGATAGGAAGATGGATAGAGAGATGGATGTATGGATGAAGAAAAAGTGAGAGAGAGACAGAGGCACACCAAAGCACACACACACGCACACACACACTGATACTCACAAGCAGAAGCTGAAGTAGAAAATAATTTTCAGCAGCAACCATGTTCACAAAATATATTTTTAAGCCTTGACATTCAAAGATACTGAGAACATAAAAAGAAATTTCACTTCTCATGTATGAGAATTTCTATTTCAAATATAATAAGTTGTAGCTGTCTATGGAATACGAATAAGGCACATACACAGAGGAAGCCAGAGAGAGATAGATAGAGAGAGAGAGGGAGAGAGAGAGAGGGAGGAAGAGGATCAACGAAGACAACCTCTCAACCACATGTGAGCACGTTGATTTTGAAATGAAACGAAAAAACATTTCTGAAGACGAAATAAGCTTGAATTTATGTATAAGCGATCATATCATTGCAAGCTGTTGCTATGACAATAGTTTTCAGAAGAATTAACATGGATACTTGTTACTAATTATATTTTGGAAATAGCATTAGGGTCAGAAGGAAGTTGCTCTTGCAACAGCTTCACACACACACGCACAAACCTCAATGCCATATCAATCGTCCAGCTTTGTTTTTCAAAGAATATCAGCTTCTATCCTCCCAACCTCTCTCTCTCTCTCTCTCTCCTGGATGAAGAATGAAACAAATGTCCTGAATATCCGTTAAAGCCGATTAGATTAAGTGGACAGCCTTTTACAATTCAAAAATACATTTTCCACGTAAGTATTCAGACATGCAAACAGTTCATCCCGTCATTTTCTATTCTACAGGCGTACATGGCGGTTGAGTTTGCAAGTAAGGGGGCATATGCACCGAATGTTATTTTACTTTTCCAGTTATAGCTTCATCCGGTGCTCATAAACTACTGATTGTTTGAATCCTTCTCGTGCACTTGTACAATGTTTGCAAGGTTTTACTGTTATACTCTATGTGTTACCGTATCTGCTACACACATGCCCTTAGGTGGTTTATTGGAGCGCACAGTCAAATGACGCAATCGGTCATCCCGGAAGTAATGCTCAATGGGTTCCAGGAATACCTTTCTTCCTCTTATTCTCGTTAAGCCATTGATTTACCTTTTGCAAATGTAGTATTATCTTCTGAATTACACCTGGAAGAAACATATTATTCTGAATACACCAGCTACGTTGCGCACAACAACATCAGCAAGTAGAGAAGGAAGGTTGTAAAACATTTTATGTCACAAACGTTCGATGTTCTGAAAGTGCTGTAGAAGGATGGATATCATGAATCTTTCCAGATTATCGTTTTTGGGCTTTCGATGGTTCGGGGGGATAACTTCGTTCGGAGATGATGATTCGATGATGACAGACGCAGACAATCTTATTCATATCTGTACGGAAGAGCAGACTGACAGTAGTTTCATGAGTATACCGGCTACACATACGGCTTACATCAAAAGCAGATCAGCTTTCTATCTGTTGAAGCATCAAACGCTGTTCCGCAAAATGATTTTTACAAACAAAATGTTTTGTGAAGAACATCCATGAATGGTCGATAGGTTTGATTTTGTTGAGAAAAAAAACCGCCTTGTAAAGCCATTCGTGACAGTTTCTTTGTTCGTTTTGAAATATCTACCGGCCTGGTTGACTGGATGTCGTAATATGGAAGACGATGATCGTTTATAGCTTAGCTTCAGGTTTTTGGAAATCTCGTGGGCTTCTTCAGTTAGACGTTAAAGTCTCGTTTATTCATCTCTCACTGCTATCCCCCCTGTCCATCCTATTGCTTTGCGAGGACGGCGATGAAAAGTCATCTACTTTCCTTCAAATATATATTGTTTGTTATATTATCGACTTTATCAATATGTAAAGCCGATTTTACTCCAAATTTCCGCAAATTCCTGCACGACACTTATGGAGTGGCGATCCAGGAAATGCTTGAAAGGACTGATCTGGGATTAGACGCGTCTTTCGGAGGAAAGGTTTAGTGCATCCTTTTAACTATTCTGCTTCATGTTAGTTTTCAGATGACAGTTGATGAAGCGATCACAAACGATCCTGTTATCATCGTTCATGGAATCACCAACAAGATCACTCGTTTTGAGGTTTCTTTTCAATGCCAATGCTGATGTTGATATGTATATATGCAGGGTATGAGACAATTCCTTATAAGCAAAGGCTATAAGAGCTCTGAGGTCTATGGAACCACTTGGGGAGATGCTGGAGCAACCCCTGTAGGACTAGTTGACTTGAAATGCTCATATGTGAAACAGCTGAGGTATGAATCAAAAGTTGTTGAAAAGGAAAATCGTTTGAAACTTCCATGTTTGCAGAGCGCTTATCATTGCCGTCAGCCAATATACGGGTAAACAAGTTGATATTATAGCTTATTCGATGGGCGCTCCACTAGCCCGCAAGGCTATTCTGGGAGGAAATTGTGTTGATACAAGAGAAATTCTAGGTTTCATTTGTGGCCATTGAAGTATACAAACTATTTTTTTATTCAGGAACTCCTATCACACAGCTTATTGATACATTCCTATCAGTTGCTGGTGCGAACTATGGAAGTGCTTTATGTTTGGTAGCTCTACCTGTGGGTACATGCAATAGGTTGGCAACAATCACGAAAAAATGGTAGTGGATGTCGTCATTTCAGAAAAACAGGATTACACTGTGATTCTGAATATCTACAAGATATAAATGCTAATGAGGGATATGAGGGAACTTTCGTTTTCAGTGTTTTCTCAACAGCTGATGAGAAGGTTAGTACTCTTACATATTGATGGTTATCTTACTTGCTGGCTGTAGGTGGGTTTCCGTGCATGTGGAAAACCTGTTGCTCCGATTCGTGGAGGTACTGGATATGTCAAGAAAGATGGATTAACGCATGACCAGCTTATGGATAGCACATTACAATTACAAAAGAATTTCATTGTAAGGCATTCGCCCAAGTAGTTCCACACACATACACACACACACATACATACATACACGCACCCTGACAGACAGACAAGCATACACAGACATGTTGTTCCTCCAATCGGATGGCTTTAAATGATTACTAATATAATGTAAAATGATTCTTATGATTCAACTTTATTAGCATAATTTAATAAAAAAGACGATGAATACAATTGTTGTTGAAAGGAGAATGAGGATAGCATATGCAAGGCTTTAGTGTATGCCATGAAACTGCTCGATGGTTCATCACCGTGTGAGGCGGAGCTTGTTGCTATGCTGCAGATGATCCTGTGCGTCTTACGTTCTCCGTCTCTGCCTTAACAAACATTGAAAGCAAACCTTGTATTTCTTACTTTCTCTCAATCTCTTTCACATATCTCTCACTCTCTCTCTCTCTCTTCCACCCTCTCTTTCTCTCTATCTCTCGTTCTACTTCAGTTCTCGCAACATTTGCGATATGCACCTTCACTGTTTATGCATACAATTTACTTTGACAGTATGTTGTCTTTATGTCCTTACCTCTCTCTCACGGTCATAGTCTCTTGTCAACTCTCATTGCCATTTTTTCCTTTTCTCTCTCTTTCTCTCATTCTCTTCATTCTGTTTGATGTCTTTATGACACTACAATCAACTGGCCAACACTACCTCCAATGTTCTAACCAACTTACCACGTATTGGGACTCTTTCGTGACGATTCTCATTCACCAATAATCTCATTTTCAATCAATTCTAAGCTCATTCCAATCAATATCTCCTTCTTATTCCATGAATGCTTAACTTTCCATTTATGAAAGCAAGAATGAAGAAGGAAGGCTGGGAGAGAGGAGAGGGAGCTCTCTGTCCTCTGTGTAGGCGCCAGTTACTTCTAATTCTCATATTTCAATTCAATGTTTCATCAAATATTTGTTTTTGCTTTCAATCAATAATCTCAATTAATTTTCATTTTTTTATTTTGAAATCCTTCTTTTCCTATACGTTCTTATCAATTTCAATCAATTGAAATGAAAAAAGATAACACGAAACACATCTCTCTCTCTCTCTCTCTCTCTTCTCTCTCTCTCTCTTTATACATCGCTAACCTCAATTCTCACGTTTCATTCGTTCATTTTTCAGCCGTGCCGTATGTCCCTCTATTGTCCATAAAAGGATTTTTCACAGTTTTTATATATTTATAAAGTAACATCATCAATATGTTTGCATCAGCAGATGAACTGTTCGGCTATTCTTCAATTATCTTAGGAGTTGCACCATTAGCAACTCAATTGGGTTTATCTCCAATCTATTGGATATTGTTGTTTCCTATTGTTGCTTTACCTGTTTTCTCACTTTTACTTCCATTAGGACATCTAGCCAATACTGGTCCTGTATTAACATACAAGCGGATTGTTCCTCTCGCTTCAGGTAAGAAGCCATTTCGCATACTATTCATGTTGTTTGACGGAAATCATTCTTTATCTGTTTTTTTGTTGTTTGATTTGATGTTGACAAGGTCATCCATCAATCTATGAAGTTATGTGTGAAGGTCAATTAACTATAATTACTTGTGATATGATGATTATGTTGTTTCTGTTTAAAGGTATCGGATGGGGATTAACATGGCTGATCGGCGAACGATTGTATGTAGAAGGACTTCGAGCTGTTCAAAATCTCTTTTACATCGTCTTCTCTATACGTACACAGCTTACATGGGCTACACAGTGTGGCTCCAACTATAATTCCAAATACTGTATGGACTTCTTTGAAGAGAACATTACTGTAGCCGATTATCATCATTATCCGGATAACTATTGGCCAGCACAAGAGTTCAACAGGTAATCATCTTCATTCAGTTTATTCCATTGTGTTTCTCACAGCGTGAACAACCGTTTCTTAGTTCATTTCGATCATGTAAATGATTCAAACGTGCTTTTCCACGTATAAATGATATACGTGAGAGGTTCACGTGAGAAACTCTTCATTGTGAACTACAAGAGACCATACTCCATTCCTTTCAGATACTACGTACGGGGAAATGCCATTTCGGACAAAATGCCAGACGCTTGGGAACCTAATGAGTGGTATCTTGGACATTCGACTGAACTTTTTGAGTTTGCTTGGCCTTCTGTTCGTTTAACTTTGGGACATGCCCTCATTTGGATACTAATTCTGATATGTGTTGAGAAGTATAATTGTCTCAGTTGATGTATACCTCATACTCTCTCATTACAGACTTCAACAAGGCTCTCAATCCTGGTTCATTAAGATCTTCGTTGTACTTCCTGTAGCGTTGTATACTGTTCTGATGATGGGGATGTCAGTTAGTGGGTTCCATTTCGGTTTACCTTCAATACAAACGGAAATTGACGAGCAGAAAAGAGATTCAGACCCATTCGATTTCTGGGCAGATGTTCGGGTTTGTTTTGATTTCGCTTAAACGTTAACAGAGCGTTCCTTGTTACAGGGATTATTCCGTACATCGTTGCTACTTGTCGACTACTCTGCTGCTTTCACGGGAATCATTCTGTATGCGACTAGTCGTGTTAAGATTGGTTCTTCCCAATTGAATCCTTATTTCTTATTGAGTGCCCTACTTGTATGTCATCTCCGTTTTGTCAAGACTCATTGAATTGTTTCAGGTTGTTCCAACTATGCTCACAATACTTCGAAGTGGGTGCGAAGGTCACATAACAGATCTCCAACCAGCTTACAAAGCTTACATCTCAACAGGTATTGAATATTGACGTTTCAGCGTTACGATATAATTTCAGACGAAACCATATCATTTGATTTATTACCTGTCTGCTTCGCTACAAGTAGATTCGGACCCTTATGGTCAGTTTTGTATTTCACGGCTCAACTTCTTTACTCTTCTATTGGTCCTATGGTAAGCTGCTTTCTGAGTTGTCTCATGTTCTAACTGCCTATTAAGGTTATCTATACTTCATTCATATACCAATCTTTCGTGGATGAAATTCCCACAGTCCAAAACAAGTGTAGGCTGTTCCTTGTTTCATTCACCTGCGTCATATCAGTCCTCTCACTCTTCCTCTACATGCCTGTAAGTTGTCTTCAATCTCAATTCCATACCTCAGTCATTCTACTTAGATGGGTACTAAGATTACTTTGTTATTCCGTTATGCTTCTCAGTCTTCAATTCTCCAAATTCTCTGTTTCATTGTTATCTTCTTCGTATATGGTAAGTGAAATTCATTTGAAGCTATCTCAAAACCAATATTAAGGTTGGCAGACAGTGGAAGCTGACGTTCTAACCATGTCAAACGAAAATGGAGCTGTGTCTTTCCTAAACTACCTCTTACGACCAACATCTCCTATTTTCACAATTCTCTTGTTCACTGTCATTCCAGCGTTGTTATGTGTAAGTCCAAGTATATGATGATGTAAGCAATGAGATTATTTCAAGGCCAAGTTTGTAGCTGTGTTTGATCTTCTTGTTGATGGTAATGATATTGTTAAACATATTGATGCTGGTGCATCCTTCATTCCTGGAACTGTGTTCACTAGACGTCTAATAGGATATGGTCAGTTTCTCCTCTTCATCTCATATTTCAACAAGCACCATTTGAAGGAATCATGTTCATGCCCATTTTCATTGTAACTGCTTATGCTTCTTACACCATGTACTCCATGTGTATCCGACATAAGCTTCCTTACGTAGACTTATTGAAATCCACAACTGATTGGATGCAACATACATCCGTCAACAACGTAAGTTAGTCTATAAGATTCCTTTATCGAAGCTATTCCTATAGACTAGACCTCGAGAACACTCATTAGCCTACGGTTTGTTCAACAGCTTATCACATATCAGTTATAAGACCTTGTTGCTACTTCTGTTCATCTTTGAAACTTTTGTTGCTTTGGTGCTCATCTTAATGTTCTTCCTCAACAGCTTATCGTTCTTAGGTGAGTTAATCTCTCTCAACTGAATTTTCGAAAATCAATTTTCAGGATTCTCTTCATCAACTTCTGCCAATCACTATCGTTCACTTATGCTTTTTGTTTTGGTTTTGAGTCATCTATATTCCTTATATGAAATTAGATCCAGTCAACGAAATTGGGATTCTCCAGAAAGGTTGGCAGCGTTACATATGTGTCAGTTCACACTCCTTATAGATTATCAATTTACATTGCTGTTGCGACCATGGAATGTGCTATGCTCAATGGCTATATGTGGATGTTTACAACTGATCATTCATGGGGCATAGATGGGCAACCATTACTCTTGATCTTCTTGAACACAGGTTTTACTCCCATCTAACAATCCAAACATCATTTTTTTTCAGTTCTACGAGGAGCATTCATTATAATGGCTATTGCAATAAGAGCACATATGACTGAGCTCATACGTCCACCAACAAGACGTACCCGGGATGCTTCTGAGGTTTACTTTCTCAATTTTAACTTTCAAAAACATATCATTCAGATATACGATGTCGATACTGTCGCTGAAATGGATGCGGAAGATGACAGTCCCATTATTTTTGATGTGGCAAGAGCTTAGCTAACAGCCATCTAATAGGTGTTACCATCCAAGTGTGCAATATACTTCTTTACGGTTTTATTCCACGTATAGTTTATTAACTCATTTATTTCACTGAAAAATACAGGTAGATGATATTCATTGTTGATTTTTAAATAAAATTTTATGCGCATTCGCCTTTTCTATCATTGCAAGAAGAGTTTCAGTACGAGTAGGTTCATTGCTCGAGAGAATGAGCGTCAATGAAACAAGCGTGTACAAGCTTTCATTTTCAATTCGCAGTTCGAGTGAGCGGTGTCGGTCCACTGAAAAATTGTGACTATGTGGTGTTCCCGACGTGATCCGCAGCCCAGACTAATTTTTTCCGATGTTAGAGTACTCAGCTGGCTCAGTAGTCTCGTTTGCGTGATATCTGTGTAGCATGAGTGGCAAATGATATATCTCATTGGATAGGTGAATCCGTGCTAATGTAGTTCTCATGAAAGATGCTAAAGAGAATGATATTGACAGAATTTGTTTATCATTTTGTCAAGATGGTAAGGAGGTCGAAATGCATTATGACACCCCGTCGTGATAAACATCAAACGGATCAAACTCACCACAACGTGATAGCTATTGCATAGCCCGTATGAATAATGTTAAAGTGATAAGAAAAATATAATGTAGCCCTCAGGTCACAGATGATGATATGCCTTGATAATTAGGATGATGCGACATTATTTACACAAATAGCCATAGTGCGCAACTCTGAACGCTAATGCATAACATACTAAACACCCGCACATGTGAATGGGATAGCATGTGCACTATACCGTTATCACATAACAAGAGGAGACCGAATAGAGAAGAGTTCCTCTTTAGAACACCCACATTGACTTTCTTGCCATGCATGTGTTGAGAGGTAACCAACTGATCTATAGAAACAGTTCATTCACCATTCTCATAGTCTCATCGTTCAAAGGAGTCTCCAACAGGGAATGATTAAGCGAATGGAAGAGTACTAATGATACCGGGTGGTCTCCTATGGCTTGTAACTGATTTGCCTTTGTAATCTGACAAAACCGAAATAGCCAAACGATAGTAAGAGCTTTGTGAGTATCAACGATAGATGTTAATCTATTTCCCATAATTAAGTACATTTGCAACAAAGTCATCTTGTTCGCACTGTCTGACATAGAAAGAAGAGAGAGAGTGTGTATAAGATGAGGATGAAGAGATAACTCCTGTCTAGAACTTCCATAAATGGATTATGTCAACAATACAGATTGAAATCAGACATTTTTGTGTCAACTAATGAAACTGATAGTCTGAACTGTAAAAAAGTGAAAAAACCAATTTTCTCCTTTTCAAACTCTCATTTGCTAGCCATTTTTCGTACTTGACAACCCTTTTTCTGACATTTTTTTATCCGTTCATCCTTCGTCCTCAATAGTCTCTGACATACGATGAGTTTTTTGAGTAATTTGTCATGACAGATAATCTTCTTCTTCTTCTCACTGTTTTTGAAACAAAAAAATGAAGGAACGGCTAATGATATACACATTACGGTGATGAGGATGATAGAAGATAGTTAGCTATGCGGATATCCGTCATATAGTTATAATAAAATAATTTTGTTATAACCGATTCACATGTTATGTCATTAGTTCATGACTTACTTTCAATTCTTTGCATGTTCATTCAAAAAACATTTCAATTGAACTTGATTAGGTCATTGACAGGCAGAACATGGCGTTGACACTTTCAAGTTGTCGTTTTTTGGGAAGAAGAGAAGGGGGTATCGAGGATGATCCATTTGCCTAGATGGCTCATTCAGTATTTGACAATGAAGAAGAAGATAGTAAGCAGATCTATCGGTATTTCAGAAGCAAGAATCATGATGAAAAGCCATAAATATTATTTGAAACGACCTCAAGTCAGTCATGAAGAAGATAAATGGATATGATGAGTGAGTTGGTGCGATTGAAGCGCCCTTAAGGATGGAAACGATATGAGACGATAGAGATACTATGACAGCAATAGCAGAAGAAGACAAAAGATATTCGAAAACTGCACATCTTAATGACTGATAAGATAATTTGAAATATCTTATTCATTCGCATATCATATTTGTATTTTAAGAGTTGGGTAATGAGTTTGGACAATGAGATGACACATCTAATCTCATCTTCTATTTTGAAAATTGAAAGTTTCATTTGTGAAAACAGGATTATCAATATCAATCAAGACAAGCATGAAAACACGGGTTTTACTCTAATCCTTATCATTGGGACATATTTCAATCAAATTCTTTCATTTTTCAAATTTCATGTTCATGTCTTCAATGATCGCTTACCTTGAGTGGAGACCCTTATGGTTTCTTCATCAACCGATAACATCAGAAGAAACAGCTGGAGTTCTTCTTATCTTTTAACTTCCAAAAAAGAGAAAATGCATTACTAACTCATTCGACAGTTTAACGAATGAACAACCGCTCACTAATGATGTTGACGTCGCAGAATGAAATTCTGACAACACACAGTATAGTTTCATTGCATTCTGAAGTAGTGGGCAGTGAGCGGTCGTAACAAACAGTTGCCTTCACATGAAAAGACTCAGTAGATTTGTTAATTTGTTTCAATTCTCTAATTATGCATAGGTTTGGGGATGTAATCGTTGATATGAGAGTGAAGTCAAGCAATTTCCGTGCGGTATCATGTCGGTATGGTCTTTGAAGTTTTCTGGGACACGTAGATGTTTCATGTTGAAGTTGGTTGAAGTTTAGTTGTTATGTCAAATTATAATCGTCTGTCGGCATCTCTTTGTATTGATTATATAATTAGCATAAATTGTGATGAATGAAGTTTGACGTGATGGATTTCACTAGCTATCTGTTGAACAGGCATATGTATATGTAAAAGGAGGAAATAAGCTTGTTCTGTCACCCATGTATAAGAAAGCTTGAATTCAAGTTTCATTGCAAATAGATTCATTTCCAAATACAGACGCAATCACTGACGTGTATGGATGAGAATCAGGTAAGAGGTAATCCATCGTGGTTGAGGAATTGTCGAAAAGTGAAATTGACGACAAATCAAGAAGCAATCGTTGTGCCATCAAGCCATTTATCATGCAGAAGTTGGATTTCATAGATTGCGTACAATGATTGTTGGATTTATCTACCTCATTTCAACAATTCTCGCCACACATACGAATGAATTACAATCTACAATTCAATTTTGATCAATTACCCAAATAAGGCAGATCAGTAGCGGAGATAAGCATCACCTGGCGCAAGCTCCCTCAATGGTACTGTAACTCGGTCAAAACTGAACTAAATCAAAGAAAAAAATATATTTTATGTTTCGACTAGAGGATGATACTTCCCATAATGATTACGATGTTGATTGTATGATAACAATCTGATGAAAGAATGTTCACTGAGGAACAGTTTAGGCTTGCAGATGATTGACATGTTGAACTGCTTATACGGTTCTGTCAGCGAGTCTGTTTAAAGATATCTGACCATGAATCGAAAACTCTTTCAAGTTGTTTCTCTACAGCAGAAGCTACAGTAAACCATTTATGACTCTTCAGTTATCGATAATCAGTCTGAGTCGCGGTAATCGGCTCCCCATGGATAATGCGTCACATTAACATATAATCAATAGGTTATCATCTTGTTCCTGATGCATAACAAATCTCTTTTTTATCTCTCTCTCTATATCACTATTCTCCTCTCTCTCTCTCTCTATCTCTCTCTGATCATTCACTTCTATTTCTCCTCCTTGTTCATCTTCATCCATTTCCGTATTGGCCCCACCCCACACCCCTTGGCTAAAGAAAGTACCAGCCCATTATGCCCACAATGAATTCACCTTTCCATTTCTTATCTTACATTCGCATCTTCCACAATTGGTTTTAAACCTCCTTCTTTCCTCAATTCTGTTCACTCCAGTCTCGCGCACTTGGCAACAGCTCGGCAGTCCAATGCTCCTCCACCTCTAACTCACTTTCAAACTTGGTCATCTTCATACTCATTCATCCACATCCTTGACAATAGGTTAGCAACTTGAAGTTCTCACATCATTCTCATTTCCATTCTTGGCTCATAAACCGTATATGTCTGAACTTAAAAAACGCTCGAGGCTATTGAACTTGCTTTTCCATTTTCCTTTTTTTTATTTTCCAAATAATGACTTCTTATTCCGAAACAACAGTACTTAAATCCATCTTGATGACCAGTCTCTCTCTCGTCCTCATCTCCCGTTTTCTTAACAACTTCGGACGTATTCGAACGGATTTACCAGCCGTTTCAATTCCTCCTTCAGCTTTCCATTCCGGTTCTACTGATAGTATTACAAGCATTTGGAATCGTTTTCTAATTCTCCATTAATTCTTTTATTGTTCTTTTAATTCACTCAAGTCAGTTTGTACAATCTGACCTTCCACTAACACTCACAGCTTTTGCTTCATTCACACACTGATGAGATTGAGTGAATGAGTAAGAGAGAGCTAGATGATGTCATTCTTTAACAGTTACTCTATCTGTATTATCATTCATCTCTGAATCTCTGCTTCTTGTCCTTTCTGCTCTCAGAAGCCATATCTTCACAGGCTCGCTCACACACACACACATACAGACAGAGAGTAATGACACAAGAAACAGAGAGATAAGAGGAAGTAATTGAAAATGCCGAGAAACAGTCTCAAGTGAAGTGCTAAGTGGCATGTTCAATCTTTTGATCAAAACCTTTGCTCATATCATATTCCTTATACAGTAAGACAATGGTCAAAGTAGCATTGGAATTGTCTTACTCTGACTCTGACTGACTCATAGCACCTCTCATCCTCTTCAACCTATATTCTCATTACAATCGCCTTATTGTTATTCATAAGATATACAAAACAATCTAGTTTGAACTCTATGCCTGAGGGCATTGACAACCAATTTTCTCTTTTGTTTTTTGAATTGTATCATTTTACTGATGACATCTCATTCTCATCATCTGTTCAAGATGAATTGTCATCGTCACCGTCAG